CGCTTGTGAAAAGTTCTGCTCAAGTCTTGGCTATTGAACAGCGAAAATCGCAGGTCTCTATCTCATTCCTATCAAAAGTTATTCAAAAAGCAACCGAGTGCCAACCATTTTGAAACGGAGAGTAGTTTTTATTGTAAAAACAATTTTCTCTTCTTTTTACCGTTTTTATTATCATTTTGAATATTTTATATTTTATATATTTTATATTTTTAAATAGAAAAACAACAGTCGCCAGCATGTGAAACAACGATAGATGAAAATGTTCAAGGTTCTAATAACAGCTGTATCTCAGAAGATGAGAACGCAATGGAAGTTGAAAATCAGATAAAGAATACCGGTTATGACGAAGAGTCTGAAACGGAGAAATATTTCAAAGATACTGATGTAAACACCAACGATCGTAATACCTCAACTAACGATGATAATAATAGTGATACAGATACAATATTGTCTGACTTAGATGAACAAGAAGCAGCACTGGAAAATGAAAATGATGTTTTATATGAATGTGGGACATTAACTTTGTGTGAAGGTTATAAAGCGATTAGAACCTTCGTAATCAAATGTAATTTGGCATTCACGCAAGTTTTGTTATTGATATCACTCTTGTTCTATTTATTACCAAATGGTCATAAATTAAAAAGATTGTGTATTGTCAATTCTCTTCGAAAAAGAGAAGATTTCATATATGAAACGGTATGTGTTTTTTGTCATGAATCAATTGACCCATTGATAGGTGATTGTCAACTGAATTGTCCATTAAACGGTAAAGCGCGAAACATCGACGGTTTCACCGAGATCTGTAACGTCGATTTATTAAAGCGTTTATCGTGTATTGTAACAAGAAATCTGGAGTTAATTATCCAAAACGAGCGCATGTTTTATTGCCGAACGATATGATTAACGGTTTAGTATATAAACAATTACATATAAATGTGAAACATAATCCGCTGACATTGATGCTTCATGCTGATGGTATGAATATCATTACTACAAAACTAAAAAAATTCTATGTTGTATCCGCTACTATCGTCGAATTACCTCCACCGCTACGAGAATATTCCAGAAATAAATTACTTCTCCATCTTTATTTATCCGACAACGAACCAACAGCAGCAGTATTATTTGATCGTTTAACATCTAATATAAAAGAATTCATTAATCGTGATCATCTGAATATCATGAATCACAAGTTTCAGTTAAGATTTCAAGGATTAAAGGCGGATTTACCTTGCAGAGCCTTATGTTTGTGCTTGAAGCAGCATAATGGATGTGAGTACTTCTTTGGTTTCATATAGTAAGCTAATTTTTTTTGAAAATAGAAATGGTGCTTATTGTTTTTTACTGTTTTTTAATATTCTAGACTACGCCTGCAGTAATTGTTTACAGCGTGGCGAAGTGTTAGGCGACGGTAACACCATCGTTTATTATCCATATGAAAGAAATCAACTACCGCGTACACATCTGCAATTTACGTCTGCGTGTACTCAAGCGCAGTTAAATAATGGTGCATTGTCTATCGAAGGTTTATTTGGAAAAACACCACTTCTAGATTTATCATTTGACATACGATCAAATTTTTCGTTCGATTATATGCACTTGTGTTGCAGGAACATTTACTGCAGCCGATAACAGTAAACGTACGAAAAAGATGCAATCAAGAACCAATGATATTTTATTTAATAATGTTATAGCAAAAAGAAATGCCAGCGCAATAAGTAAACAAGCAGACATAATTCTGAAAGAAAATACTTCACCATCTCAACAACAATCACAAGCTACAACGACAACAGTAACATTGCCATCAATCAAGAAAGAACCGAATATACATGCATCAAAAATATCAAATATTCAAGGTTGACTTTAATACAACGAGCTTTCCTATTGCTGAACGATTTCTGTTTTATAGGTAACGCAAGCTTTATTCTGGACGATCTAATAAATATGATTGACGAAGATCTGGTTTCCAATTCCTCCAACTCTATTTTGCGTAAGTATTTGCTATTTTTGGCTGAATCATCTTATATATCCTTGTTGTTCGTCGTTTAGGAAATGATACTCAATCATTCGAAGGCGAGCCCTTGCCTTCTTCAGAGACTATTCTAGCGAATAATAGAACTTCAGTTCCCTTGTCATCTACAACAGGTAATGCTCCTCTAAATATGAGGGCTCGTAATAAATGAAGGAAACCTGTTCAGCTAGTGAAGTGTCAGAAGCTGTTCTCTTTACATTATAGCGGTTGTTAAACAAGTACCAGTAATAAAACAACACAACGTTACGAAATCATCTATCGATGTTAATTGGGGACCTACTGGTGATGCATCAAAATCGTGGAATGCATCCATAACACCAAAATCAATTAGTTTGTATCTTGATGAGGAAATAAACATTTGAAGTTGAACTTCTTTTTCCTTTAGAGAAAAATTCAATTCCACAAACAACACGGGCTATATCCGATCTTATAAGATCGGATAATTTGTGTCGGATCGTCTTCGTCAAAAGCTTTGTCAAAAAAGCATTTTATTCTCGAAAAACATGACGGACTTCCCGAATTTGGTTCAATATAGTCCTTCCGAATTATGTCTATTTGTGTTCTGAAGCACTCTTTCCCCATGAAGCGTTCGCCATTTGAAATTCGTTTAAATATTTCTTTCGTTTCGTTTGTTTTTGCTTCCTCACAAGGAACTAGCTTGGTAGTATTACGGATGGATCGCGTGGCATCAGCGTATAATAATATTCTAACTATATCATTGTTACCATAAAAAGATGCAACGTGAAGTGCTGTGCTGCCATTTGATTCTTTTCGATCGATGTCTTCCAGCTTCATTGTCTTCAGCATTTCTCGTACACTTTCTATATCATTGTTACGGCAGGCTCAATAGAAATCGCTTATGTCTAAGTGTGCTGGTCTTGGTGGTGAAGGAGAATGACGATCACCACTACCCTCATTATTACGTCGACCACTTTGATGCCTTCCCAATGGCACCTCTTTTGTAGAAAAAATGGGGTGACGTGATGATGAACGTTTGTTAGATTCTTGTGGGACGGCTCTGCTTTGTTGTGTATTGGTCGCCGCCACTATTTTATATAAACTTGTTGCATATATGTATATTGTTCTACCCGCATAGCTGGTTCGTTGAACACTGTTCGGTACTGCTAGTGCTGCTCTAGTTATATAGCTTCTCTGAGCTTCATCAGCTTGTCGTCGTGTCCCTATTTTGCTTCTAACAGTATGTCGACGCTTACACAAGACTTCTCCTTTTTTATAACATCGTTTAATTTGGCTTTTTCCAACTGAAGTTTTTTCTCATGGATTTATAAGATGTATACACTCCCTAGAGAAAGTACTGAGTTCAAGGTACCCATGTACTGAGAAAGCCTCGGCAAGGTACCCGATATGGGTACTTCGAAAATTCTTAGTAATTATACTAATGTAGGTACTGCATTGGGTACCCATAGC